CATTTCCTATTGAGCATTGTTACCTCCTCCTTTGTTTTTCCCCTACCATCCCTTTTGTCCCTACCTCCCCAAATCCCCTCTCCCCCAAAGTTGTAAAGTTTATTTTCAACATGGTGTCTTGTACATCTGATTGTTACAATGCGTCAACCTGTGTCCTTATTTCTCCAAATTAGAAAAATGTATATACAAGATGCAGGACACCGGAATAAAATACAGTGACAACAGGGGTTATACCATGGGGAAGACCATACAAAAGAAACAACAAAAAAAAATCACATAGTACATTTGTAAATCAAGTTTCTTGCTTGTCCTCTTTTCCAAAGAAAAGATCTTTGCTACAAGATTTCCCTTTCTCATGTCAAACAAAATCACTTGATTTCTTTCATGAGTCTTTTCTTCACATGCTTAGTGGGTCAAAATTCGATTCTAATGTGAGGGCATAAAAGAAAAACTAACAGGACTTATCTAAGTTCAGTTTATGTAAGAGCCAAGAACAACATTTAAGGTCTTCATTTTGGAATCTAACCCATATATCTTAATTTAAAATACCACTCTACTTACTCACAAAGGATTGACTCCTGCCATAGATAGAGAAAAATTACTGAGAAACATTCTGCCATGGCAAAATAAAAAGATAAGTTACTTTTCTGGAAATGAAGTTTATTTACACTGTAATACTGATTAAATACTTAGCTAAAATAAATTTAAGTTAAAATTATTTTGTTCTTTACTCAATCATTGGTGAGTGAAAATGTTAATCTAAATATCATAAGACTACTTCAAATAATTACATATTAATATCAATTAAATAGTTCCTCAGTCACCCCATTTGTTAGCAAATGGAAAGACTTAGAAAAAATTGTATTCAGTAAAGTAAGCCAGGCCCAAAGAAACATAGATCCCATGGTTTCCCTTATTTGCAATAACTACTATATGTCTAGGACAGCAGAAAAAGTCAAAAGCTATGTACATATGGCCATATAAAATGATGTTAAGCAAAATGAACCCCAAGACAGGGACACGGTGGTTTTTTTCTTTCTTGCTTGCTATTGATGTACTATAAGATTTTTTTTTGTTTCTTTTGTATGTTCTTTCCCATGGTATAACCCCTGTTTTCACTGTATTTGATTCCGATGCTCTGCATCTTGTATATCATCTTGTATATACATTTTTCTAATTTGGAGAGGGGAAGGGAAATAAAATGCTGAAATAAGGATACAGGTTGAACCATTGTAACAATGAGAAGTACAAGACACTATGTTGAAAACCAACTTTACAACTTCAGAGGTGACGGAAAGGGATGGTAAAGAAAAACAGAGGAGGAGGGTGGAGGTAACAATGCTCGGAAATTTACTCATTACCTTATTCATGTAACTGTAACAGTATTTTTACAATAAAAAACATACTAAAATAAAATAAAATGATAAAGAAAAAAATAGTTCCTCAAATACAAGTTCTTGGTTTTACAACTATTCTAAATTTGAACTTCTTATATAAGCTTAAACAAAACTGTACCCTTTATGAGGCAAAGTAATATCCTGCTATTTCCTCTGAATCACATGCCAAATGATCTCTAGTACTAACACTTTGACAATGAATTTAACTAAGAAGAAAAATAAAATCTATTCTATGGCATCCTCTAAAAAGAGTATACAAACTAAGGCACTCATTTATAAACTGGAATAATGCATACAAACTTCTGAGCTTGTGAACTAATATGAATTCAATATCACAAAGAAAAATATCCTAATAGTAACATTTGGATAGATTCATTTGTGTTAGGGACAAAATAACAGAAATAGAACATTGTTGCAGAAACTTTACCTATGCAGAATTCATGTTTTGAACTCTGACTTTTCTATTTCAGAGACCATCAGGTCTGACATTTTATATGTAGTATATTTAGAATAATATTTAAATATTTTCAAGTTGTCATCATAGTTACTTTTACTACAGATATTAATATCTTTATCAAAGGATATTTGGCGTGACTACAGAAGATGAATGCTTATGAGGATATAAAAGTAACATCAAATAAAGCCTTTTAAAAATTATCCATCTAAAAAGAAAGATACTTTGTATTAATAAACCAAGAAAAGGATAAACTTTCTAAGCAAATCACTGATATTAAAAAACTAATTTAAGCTCCTTTTAATGGATCACAAGATAACTTTTGATGTATTAAAATTATAATTTTTAATAAAGGAAAATTCATTCTTTGCCTATATTAGCAACTCTTCAAACTTCAAAAGAGAAATTATGTCAATGAAACATAAATTACTCAATTTGCATATATACATACATTTAATCTATATCATTTACTTTAATTTGTGCTTTACACATATTTTCACACTTTCAAAAGTTAATAATAAGACTTGTCCATCCATATTCTTATTGTTCAGTCTTACTGACATTCCTAGTCCCCAGAGTCACAGCCCATATAGACTGTAGCTATGTTAACAGCATCTTTATGTGTTTGTTGTACTTTCAAGTTTAGAGGCTAGAAAGAGGAAAGGAGACTATGTCTCACTGGTTGTTTACTTTTCATGAGACACTGTACCCAGCAATTGCCCCACATCTTATACCACCTTCCCAATACCAGATCTCTTAATCATGAAGACAGGAATAGAAAGAGAGAGGGTACCTCTAAAAGGTTTTCTCCCTCAGTTGAAAACGGAGGCTTAAAAACTTGAACACTACTAACTGGGAAGTGATGGGATTTAATCCAAGTTCTTTGTGCCCTGTTACTCATCTCCAAACAATGAGCCAGAAAAGGAGACAATGCATTGGTGGCACACTACATAGAGGTACACTATTAGGGAAGGGAGAGGAGAGGAGAGCAGGCAGTGAGGGGAAGAGCAAAAGTAGAGGGAAGGACTGATATGATGGAAGCATGATATATACATGGATGGAAACATTATGAAATCCATTATTTTGTACAATTAGAATGTATTAATAACTATACAAAAAGATTAAGTGTCCCTACCCCCAAAAACCTTTATTATACAATAATGACTGGTTTATATAACAACACTTAAGAAAAACTCAATGACAGAAACATTTTAGAAATCTTGATTTCCCAGAGCCTATCACAGTCAAGAAAGGCTACATGAATGTATAATAAAGTATTAGATTTTTAAAATAAGTCTATTTTATACATCAATCTCTCCCCCACCTCCCTCCCTACCACCCATCCTCATTCTTGAGGAAAGAATCAGTGGATGGGAAGCCATACCTGGAGGGCTAGAGTCCCTCCTTCTGCCTCTGTACCTAATCGGGAAAAGGACCAACTGCCTGGTCCCCACCAAGAAAAGAAAGGTTATAAACATTTCTTCAAAAAGTCAATTCCCACAAATCAAAGAAAGGTTCGACAAATGGGACTGCATTAAACTTCAGAGCTTCTGCATGGCAAAGGACATAGCTAGCAAGATCAATAGAAAGCTCATAGGTTGGAAGATCTTTGTTAGCCATACAACAGACAAGGGCCTCATACCTAAAATATACTTAGAATTCAAAAAATTAAATCCCCTAAAAACAACCACCCCATTAATAAGAGGGCTAAAGACTTAGAGAGACTTCTCTGAAGAGGAAATAAGAATGGCCAATAGACGCCAGGTGCCGGTGGCTCACGCCTGTAATCCTAGCTACTCAGGAGGCTGAGATCTGAGGACCATGGTTCAAAGCCAGCCCAGCCAGGAAAGCCTATTAGACTCTTATCTCCAATAAACCACTCGAAAACTGGAAGTGGCACTGTGGCTCAAGCAGTAGAGTGCTCGCCTTGAGCTGAAGAGCTGAGGGACAGCACCTAAGCCCAGAGTTCAAGCCCCCACAACCAACATACATAGACACACAGACACAGACACACACACACACACATACAAAAGAATGGCCAATAGACTCATGAAGAAATGCTCAACTTCTCTTGCCATAAAAGAAATGCAAATCAAAACAACATTGAGATTCTACATCACTAGAGTTAGAATGGCTATAATCAAGAAATCTAATAACAACAGATGCTAGAGGGGATGTGGCCAAAAGAGAACCCTACTGCACTGGAAAGCAGTATAAAGGCTCCTCAAAAGACTACCCATTGAGCTCCCCTATTACCCAGCAATCCCATTTCTGGGCATTTACCCAAATGGTCACAAACAAGGCCATACAAAAGCTACCAGCATAGTTATGTTTATCACAGTATTATTCACCATACCAGATGTCCCTTGGTAGATGAGTGGATCAAGAAAATGTGGTATATACACACAATGGAATTCTATGCCTCCATCAGAAAGAATGACATGGCCCTATCTGTTAGGAAATGGAAAGACTTGGAAAAAAATCATATTAAGTGAAGTAAGCCAGACCCAAAGAAACATAGGTCCCATGGTTTCCCTTATTTGCAATAATTAGTATATGTCAGAAAAGGTAAAAAGCTATGTACATATGACCATATAAGATGATACTAAATGAAATGAATCCCAAGATACGGTCACAAAAGGTTTTTCTTCATCGCTGTTGTATTTAATGTACTACGTGATTTTTTTTTTGTTTCTTTTGTATGTTCTTCCCCCTATGGTATATCCCCTGTTGTCACCGTATTTGATTTTGGTACCCTGAATCTTGTACATCTAATGTGGGGAGGGGAAGGGGAATAACAAAATGCTGAAACACGGACACAGGATGACCCATTGCAACAATGATATTCACAAGATACTATGTTGGAAATGAACTTTACAACTTCTGACTGGGGGGAGGGGGGAAGGTACTGGGGGAAGTGAGGGAGGGAAAGGATAGTAAGAGAAAAACAAAGGAGGGGGTAACAATGTTCAACAAGAAATGTACTCATTATCTTATTCATGTAACTGTAACTCCCTGTAACAGCATCTTTGCAATAAAAGTAAATTTAAAAAAATACACAAAAAAGCTAATTCCTTTGTGATAAAGGAACTTTGCAGTCAAATAATACACAAAAGAAACTAAAAAGGTACAATATTAAAATGTCTTACTGCTTGTTGAAGAAATATGGTTGTGTTCCCAGTCTTTGAGAAAGAGCTTGACAGCACTGGTCTACATCTTCTAAGACCTATTATTGGCAAGGGACCCCAAAGGAAAATATTTAAGTTAGGAAAACAATTAAAGTATCTAATTTGTATTACAATTTATAATAAAAATGTAAATTGAGGGTAACGTTTCATTATATATTTTCAAATGACTACAGATGACGTAAGTAATAATGCTTTCTATGTAATAGGAAAAGGGTGAATTTTCTTTAAATACACTTGTTACTGGTAAGGATCACTATAGCAGGTTTACTCTCAAAACTTCACAGACTAAAAGAGGTTTTCTTGAATTAAGTCATTTTGCATATATTTGCCATATACAATTGAAACTGCTTACCTACCACAAGTAAGGGCATTTCAGTTTGTTTTCCTACTCTAATTCATTCCATCCTTATTTATTTACTAAACACCTAGTTTTTACTAAACACACCATTTACTAAACAAATTAGTTAAATGGCTTGCTAGAATTAGGGGTAGCCTTGGCAAAAAGAGATTAATCAGTTTAATGATGCTTAAAAACATGACCTTGGGAGGTGGAGGGGAGAGTGTAGTTGTAGAGATGGAAGGGCTGGGATGGTAAGGGAAAAACAATTCTATGCCTCCATCAGAAAGAATGACATTGCCCCATTTGTTAGGAAATGGAAAAACTTGGAAAAAATTATATTAAGTGAAGTAAGCCAGGCCCAAAGAAACATAGGTCCCATGGTTTCCCTTATTTGCAATATCTAGTATATGTATGAGTCAAGCAGAAAAGGTCAGATAATATGATGTCAGGAAAATGAACCCTTAGACATGTATTTTAATGTTTTTTCTTTCATGCATGTGTTTCTAACGCATTTATAAGACTATGTCTTTGTTGCTTTGTATGTCCCTCCCCCACAGTATAACCCCTGCTTTCACTATATTTGATGTCAGTATAACTTGTGGAGGAGAGGGGGAAAAAACAGTTGTTTAAGGATACAGGTGGACCTGATGCAACAACGAGAAGTATAAGTTGTCATGTCCAAAACGAGCTTTATAACGTTGGTCAGTCATGGGGCTTGAACTCTGGGCTTGGGCGCTGGTCCCTGTGCTCTTAAGCTCAAGGAGAGTGCTCTACCGCTTGAGCGCTTGAGCCACAGTGCCGCTTCTGGTTTTCTGGTGGTTTGCTGGAGATAAGAGTCTCACAGACTTTCCTGCCTGGTCTGGCTTTGAATCGCAATCCTCAGATCTCAGCCTCCTAAGTAGCTAGGATTACAGGCATGAGACACCGGTGCTCTGCTCCCCTTATTTTTAAGTCCTGATACTGAAGATCATTATTTATTGACATAAAAGATGTCCAGAATATATCACTCAATGGAATATAAAATTAGATTGTGGAGTAGTAGGCACAATACAATCCCACATTTAAGGAAAATATTAGCTAAGAGACATCTACAAGAATTTCTCCAAATTGTTAAGAATGGCACTTTTTTGTTTCTTTGTTTTGTTGGTTGTGGGATTTGAACTCAGGACCTGGACACTGTCCCTTAGCTCTTTTGCTCAAAGCTAGTGCTCTACCATTCTGGAGCCACAGTACCACTTCTGGTTTTCTGGTGGTTAAATGGAAATAAGAGTCTTATGGACTTTTCTATTCAGGCTGGCTTGGAATTATGATCCTCAGATCTCAGCCTCCTTCCTGAGTAGCTAGGATTACAGGAATGAGCCACCAGCACCTAGCTGAGTGGCAGGCACTTTTTAAACAGTGGCATATCAGACAGTTTTTACTTCTTTTTGTAGTATATAATTTGTCTCACAATAAGTATGTGTAACTATTAACAAAAAAAATAAAACTACTTCGGGAAAGACAAAATAATAGCAAATGTTGGTTGTTTTTAATAAGTTATACAGTTTATAGCATATAAAAATATCATTTTTGACATAGTGAAAGTCAATTTCAACCTCAACTAACCTGGTCCAGGGTCTTGTTGCCCCATCCAATAGCTTTCATCTTACGTTTGACTTCCCACTGTTTCTGGTAGGCCAAAATATGATTCAGCGGCCATGGGTAAGGAGATCCATACCTAGAATGAGTAATCTAAAACAAAAGGCTCCATAAAAAGCATGGTTCTTCCTAGAAACAATGTTTCTACAAACAGAATTCTAAAAGAAATGTATTTGCAAAGAAAATGTATTCAGCCATCTGAAAACATGCACTGCATCCAATGTAAAAAAATTAAAATTTTAAACCATTCCCTTTAAAAATATATAAACTTTTATGTACTTTACAACCAGTTACATCAAACAATGACACATAGCTTCCCTAAAATGTACGTGCAAGCAAAATTAAAGTAAGTGAAAAACTATATCACTAATGGTATAAACCACAATGTTTCATTTATGAGCAGGGACTTGCAATTCTGAGCAAAAGTGTTTTCTCATTAAATTTTAATTAAGATAAATGCTGCAGAACTACTCACCTCCTCTACTGTAGCTTCATCACACCACTGAAGATACAACTGGGGACAAAAGAACAGTCACTAAAACTTTAGAATACCAAAGGAAAAAAGGATAAACTTATTTCTTGCCACAGTAATTTCTTATAAACCAATTTTGTAGGTCACAGATGGGAAGTGTTTCTTGTTAGAAAATGTTGCTGTACAGAATTATAAAATTTAATGGTAATACTTTATAAAAATATTTCTTATCACATAATATATCTCCACTATGAAATTATTGTTCAGGTATTATTTATGTACACTGTGAAAGGCCAAAGTAAAACAATAAACTGGTGAGAATCACCCCTTCTTATAAACAGAAACTAAAACCATCAAGTAACTTATTCAAAGATAATTATCAAATCACTTGGACAACCATCCCAAGTTCTAGAATCTATTATTTTCCCATTTTTGAATAACTTTAAAATAACCCATAAGGAAGTTCTATGCTATGGGAGATCACAGATTATAAAAGATTTTATTTCACTCTATTATTTTATGTTATACCTCTGCAGTCAAAAGCATATTGTTGACTAATTCCATATAAGCTTTCATTTCTGCTTTTTGGACATCATCCAATCCATCACTAAGACAATGACCCTAAAGACAATTAAAAAAAATATTTAAAGAGCCTTCTTTTAAACATACAACAATTTTCAGTTATCTTACTAACATGTAATGTAACACACAAGTGTCCAATAGATTAATTTCCAAAGTGACTCAAGGACAAAATTATCTTATATAAGAGTATATTTAATATTCTATTGCTATAAAATCCTAAGTAGTACTTATTTGTTATTACATCAATGTATTTTCCATCACCAACTATTTCACAAAGAAAACAGAGCAGTCAGTAAAACTTGTATTTTTAAGAAAAGAACATTTATAATTAAAATAAATGCCAGGAGATGACACATTTTGTTAATAAAGAAATTGAAATTTTTTTTAAAGATGTCAGTAAAGATACAGGGGGGAAAAGGCACAAATGTCCAAATTCTCATACCCAATTAAATAAGGGTGGAGACATAAACCAGTATATCCATTAAGTCAATCTGTAAGAGTTTCAAAAGGTATGCCCTATGACATCCCAATATCAATCCTAGGAACTTATCCTAATGAGACACACAGTGTATAAAAGTTTATATACAAGAAAATGTATTTAAGCACTTACAATAGCAAATACATTGGCCACAATCAAAATGTCTATTAATAAAAACTTGAGTAAATAAAACTATCTAATATAACAGAATACCACACAATTTTAAAAGATAATGTAAATCTGGGCTGGGAAGGTAGCTCAGTGGTAGAGTGTATGCCTTGCAAGCATGAGGCCCTGGGTTCGATTCCTCAGCACCACATAAACAGAAAAAGCCGAAAGTGGCCCTGTGGCTCCAGTGGTAGAGCGCTAGCCTTGAGCTGAAGAGCTGAGGGACAGTGCCCAGACCCAGAGTTCAGGCCCCATGACTGGCAAAAAAAAAAAAAAGATAATGTAAATTTATATATTTAGAAAGTTATTAATATGGCAGGATTTATAAGCATTGATTATTTTAAGGAATTACAAAATAATACATAATATTATTGTCTTTATTTACATATGCAAAAAAATGAAAGTCTGGAGAGTATTCCCCAATGTCAATAAGGGATGCTTCAGTAGACTCACTAGAACAGGTAAATTAGGTCAATCAAATATTTTATAAGAACCTAAAAACCTTCATTTATAAACAAAAGTTAGAAATTTATCTACCATTTTATAAAGTATCAAACTACTTCTTTGCCAACAATTTATATTATGAAAAAACTCCCAGCTTACACTTTGGAAACATTTTACAGTAATATGCATCAACATTTTATAAAACTAGGTTAAAATCAACAAAAACTGTAAGACATGCTAAAGAATGATGAATGACTTAAAATAATTGTAATCAAATTCATCTAATATCCTTTTTTATTACCTTGGCTTTAACAAATTGGACTATTGGACCAAGTTCTGATACTACCTGATTTCCCACATGAATAAAAGGTACTTTACCTGTTAGGGAGAAAAATAAATGTGTAAAAATACTTAGTAAAGTTTGTGCTAATAAAAGAAATTAATAAGAAACCCAGGCATGTTTTCCCAATAGACTTTATAAAACTGTAAATTAAAACAATTACACTCATGCAATTTTTGAACACTAATTGTTAATCAATTTTAAAACAAGAGAACTGTGGTACAGTTTGGTAGGTGAGGTAGAGCCATGACATAATTTGAGCATTTGGGAGGCTGAGGCTGGATAATTGTGAGTGTCTAGGGAGTTCTATTTAGGCTGGTCAGAGCTACATAGCAAGACCCTATTTCAGGAAAAAGAAAAGGAAAAGGAAGTGTTCTCCCTTGAATATAGTAACAGATCACAGCATTCTCATTTCAGGGCTGACAGTAAACAAATCCCTATGGAGCAATGAGCACTAATTATCCAACTTATATAAACTAAGTAATGACAGTAGCTCATCAGCACTAGTAAGTTTCAAAGAAATTTCTTTTTCTTCAGAGTACAGTCCAATGAAATCAATCTATATTGAAAACTACCTCTAAGAAACCTTTTTATACTTTTCATTTCAGATCTCTGATATCCATTTAAGATCAACAATTCAAGTACAAAATAGATCATTAATAAATGACTTTGGCTCAATATATGAGGAATTAAAACTATTGTTTTAATAATTATAACAATAATTTATTTACTTATTTACATACCTATTTATTTATTTTTGGTTATAGGCTTGAACTCAGGGCCTGGGCACTGTTCCTGAGCTTTTTTGTTCAAGGCTAGCACTCTACCACTTTAAGCCACAGCACCACTTCCTGTTTTCTGACGGTTATTTGGAGATAAAAGTCTCACATCCTGCCCAGGCTGGCTTGAAACTGCAATCCTCAGATCTTAGTCTCTTGAGTAGCTAAGATCACAGACATGATCCACAGGCACCAGACCAATAATCTTTGAAGGTATGTTAATTTGTAAGTTAAGATACAAAAGATGCACCAACAGGAAAGGGAAGGACTGACAATGAGGGTGAATGAAAAGGAGTATGATCTATGTAGTTTATTTCCATGTATGAAGATAGAACAATGAAACCTGTTGAAATTGTTTTGCCAATGGAGAATGGGACTAGGGAAAGGGAGTGAGATTAATAGGGACACATTGTATGTGTAGAAATGTCACAATGAAATATCCCTTGTACAACTAATGTATGTTAATAAAATGAACAAAAAGTATATTCCTAATACACGGAGGAAAAACAAAATAGTATGCTTATAAAAACTGGCATCTTTTAAAATACTACATTTTAGGGGCTGGGAACGTGGCTCAGTGGTAGAGCGCTTGCCTTGCATGCCTGAGGCCCAGGGTTCGATTCCCCAGCACCACATAAGCAAAAAGAAAAAAGCCGAAGTGGCGCTGTGGCTCAAGTGGAAGAGCGCTAGCCTTGAGCTGAAGAGCTGAGGGACAGTGCCCAGGCCCAGAGTTGACCCAAAAAAAAAAAAAAAAAAAAAAAAAAAAAAAAAAACAAAAATACTACATTTTAAAGTAGCATTTCATTTTAATAAATACTAATGCTGAATATAAGGTAAGGAGGGGGGAAAGTCCCTAAATAGCAAGCAGGTCTACTCAAATGTTAAACAATGAAACCTACTGTCAGACTAGTTCAAATAGAGTTCACACTAACAGTAGGCTTCTTCCTGCTCCTTTTCAATAGATTCACTTCTCTCTAGCTCAGTCAGCCTAGGGGTAATGGATGAGGTGCTGTAGCAACAAAAGCTTCATCTGTGCCGACAGGATAACATGAATTACAGAGGAAGGGCAGGCCTTTTGGAATACAACGCTCAATGTATTCAGAATACATTCCTTCCCTTCTGCTGTTTTCTAAATCTTGCAAAAAGAAAAGAATTTCTGAACAAGGTAACCATTAGGCTATCTTGTTTTGTGGGTTTTTTAACTTAGATAAAATCTTTGTAACCATCATATTATACAGTACAAGTCATATGAGATTAAAAAACAACAACAACTGGAGTAAAACATTTTTAGAGAAAAGCATAGTTCTCCTTTTCAATAACTAGTTGCAGGTTCTTAGGAAAAAATATTTCATTTTATTTCTTAAAAATATATCAAGCATTGGCTGGAGGCACAGCTCAAGTAGTAGAATGAGGCAGGCCTGATTTCAAATCCTAGCATCACCAAGACAAAGTAAAATAAGTAGATTAGATAGATAGATATTGAGCCTTGTAGACTCTAAAATACAGAAACTATGGGTAAGTCAATTAAGCACTCATAAAAATCTTATAAATATAAAAGTCAATGCAGCAAGTAAGAAGTGAACCATTTTTCCTTTACTTAAGATGGTACTATTATTACATTCTTATTATTCAGGTATCAGGTAAAAGCACAGTGAGAGTTATTCCCTGACGCCAATTCAGTCATCAAAGACTTTAGGCAAAAATCACATTTTAAAATTTTATTTAAGAAAACAACATGTAGCCGGGCGCTGGTGGCTCACGCCTGTAATCCTAGCTACTCAGGAGGCTGAGATCTGAGGATCGCGGTTCAAAGCCAGCCCAGGCAGGAGAGACTGTGAGACGCCTATCTCCAATAAACCACCAGAAAACAGGAAGTGGCGCTGTAGCTCAAGTGGTAGAGCGCTCGCCTTGAGCTGAAGAGCTGAGGGATAGCGCCCAGGCTGAGTTCAAGCCCCACGACCGACCACAAAAAAAAAAAAAAAAGTAAACAACATGTAGCCAAGCAAGTTTGTAGATTCTGAAAATGTTAGAACCTTCAAAATTTTCTAATCTGACTACCTCACAATACAGATGAAGTTAAGGAAAAAAAATAAAATATCCCAAAAGGAAATGCTACAAAGACAGGGCAAATTTACCTAATGCTTGGCCAGGTAGTCTTCTATTCCATGCTCTCTGTTTTAAGTCTATCAAAAATAGATTGATAAATATCTCCCTGAAAAACTATATAACACTAAGTTATAGTAAATGTTATACTCAACCACTTAAATCTACTAGCACATGACATACACAAAGATGTTGTCAGTAGTAAAAAATAGTAAAAAGGGAGAAACTTTAACAAAAAGCATTTTAAATATAAGAAAAGTTAGAAACTGTAATCTTTCAATAATGATTTTAACTAAAATCTAATGAAAACAGTTATTCCATAATCTCTTTTCTCCTCTATGAGAAAAGAAATGTAGAGAAATGTGTTTGATAATAAATTAATTCATTACTATTAAAATTTGTTTTACGAAAAGTCCTATGTAAGTAGGACTGGGGAAATCTGAAATTATATATATACTTAACACTATTTGAAATAAATCCTATAATATTCCAATAACCATTTCTAAGTACAACTGAACTTAAAGACACACTGCCTTCAAAATTAAGTATACAAGCTATTTAATAATAGGTAAGGGAGGAAGGAAAACAAGAGTGCAGACATAATGGGAAAATAACATGTAGGTAACAACATGTTTTAACATGTAGGTAACAACCTAAAATAGTTCTATAATTTTATCCAGAATATTAACAGAGAAAAAAGAACACTTACCAGATGGAGACATATATTCTGCATTTGCCCTACAAACCACTTTTATAGGCAAATTACACATCTGCAAAAAGGTCTGGAAATAAAGAGAAGTACAGTAAGCTTAGTGAATATTTTTGCCTATTTGAAGAGAATTCTGTATTCATCTTCCCTGAATTTAAACGGTCCATACAATAACACTCTATTGGAAAACAATGAACCAATTTTAAAACTCTGTTTTCCAAACAAAAATGTCATTTTTCTTCTTTTAAAAAATCAATATGACCTACTATTAGTAACTACATGAAACTTAAGAGCATTTATATATACTTATGAAAATAAATTATTCACATTTATTTTATTAGTTTATGTAAGTAAGCAATACTACAAAATGCTTTTTCTTTAACAGATGACTAACACATTTTATAAGACACTGATAAAATCTTAATTTTATATGATACTAATTCTATTACTCTCTTCAGGATCAATCTTTTTCATCTTATAGTAAAACTCAAAATGTTATTTCTGCTGCTTCAATGTCCTCTACAATCATATTCAAAAACTTTAACACATAATTTCTATGCTCATTCACTTTTAAAGCTTTAAATCATTTTTTTCACTTAGTTTATAGGAACAAAAATTTTAGAAGTAACTTAAATGTCTAGCAAGGGAACAAAGGACTAAATTACAGTAGATTCTACAGAATTCTACAGAAATTTAAAGTTTACGCTTTTTTTTCAGGACTGGAGTTGAACTCAGGACTTCTATCTTACTAGGCTGCCAGGACACTGTTCAGCAATGCTTCCAGACTCATTTTTCACTGGATTTTAGGACAGAATCTCACTTCATGCCTGGTGTACACATGAATTGCCTACTTTAAGTTGCCCCTCATTACTGAGATTACTGGTGCACATCACTATATCCAACTTCCTTTCATGAAGATGGAGTCTCTTGGTCTTTTCTGCCCAGATGGAGATTGGCACTGTGATCCTCTCGATCTCAGCCTCCCACATAGTTTATGATGACAGGCATGCAACACTATACCCAGTTTTGGATTGACAAGGAGTCTCTGGAATGTTTCTGCCTGAGCTGACCTCCAGCCATGATACTTTACATTTCAGCCTCCCAAGTAGCTAAAATTATAGATATAAGACATAGATGCCCAGCATTTTTGAAAGATAGGTGACAGGAAGTGGCACTGTGGCTCAAGCAGTACAGCGCTCGCCTTGAGCTGAAGGACAGCGCTCAGGCCCAGAGTTCAAGCCCCACGACCAACAAAAAAAAAAGGTAGGTGACAATCTACTTTTCAGTCCAATCAGGTAGGGTTATCTTCAAATGGCAGATGTTACGTTTACTTCCTAAGAAAAAGCTTCTATTCATTTCACAATTAAATTTGAAACATTTTATGTGAAAATTCACTAAAGACTTTTCCCAAGCATGCAATGCCATTTCAGGCACAAAATGAAAATGGTTATGAATTTTAATTCACATCCTGCTTCACCAGAACACAAAAGAAATGTGTGATGACAATTGAAGAATTATCATCCACCATACTGAATATTTTAAAATTAAAAACCATGAACGAACCTATCCTAGAAAATAATTCATTTTTTACATCTAACAGCTGCAGACCCTATAATTGAAATAATGTATCTAAGGTTACAAATAAAAAGTGTTAGATATCATTCTTGAAGTGACATATTAAGTTCCTAATCCAGTTACAGTAATAGCCATATTTGTAGTTTAACATAAATTAAGACCTTAATTATATTTGTGACTATTTTAAACAAAATAACAAATTCCTTTGTACCTGAGAGTGTAATTTATAGCAAAGCCAGGTTCATTTTCCAAACCAATCTATTTCACACTGCAGAGGTACAGTGGTATAATGGTATAATATAATTCTGGATGTAGAATGTTTTTACTAAAAGCACAGAAGAGGTTTGAAGATAAATGAAGATGCTATTCATTCAAGGGTAATTTCATTTTAAAACTATATGAAGGATGTTTCACTTACACAGGATAGTGTATGGTCTCAAATTTAAGCATATTTTCAGGTCAGATATGATGCTGCTAGATCGATTATGTTGCTAGTGTATATCTAATAATGAAAAATTCTACCCCTTTTCTATTTAAAAAATAGGCTGCTTTTTTTTCATCTTACCACCATGTCTTTATTTATCTCTTTAACAGCAACAAAATTTAAAATCCTGCTTGCTATTTCCTTCTTATACAAAATATATATATATGCAACTTATATTCTAATACATAGTATCTCAGAACTAAAGAAGTATGAACTTTAACAAAGTTAGACAATATTTATATTAGCAAATTATTGCCATGTATAACTATTTCACATTTCAGTAACTACTAAAAATGACAAATCAGTCACCTAGTTCTACTATGACTATATGTCACTTCATTTCTACAAATTCTACATGAATTTATTTTAGTATTAATTTTAGTATTAATATTAGTTCCTCAAACACATTTAAGCTCAGTTGCTTTTTAAACATAATGTTTTTAAACTTACATATATTTTGTACTTAACAAGTTCCATAAAGCATGCCAGGTATTAGAAGCATAAAACTACCATCATGCTCTAGTATTTCAGGTACAAAAAAATAATGTACTATAAAATAAGGCCTCTACCTTTACAGTTCATGAAATATTAGGAAGTTTTAAAAATATTTTCCATAAAACATTATTCTATTGAACTATATCCAGATTCCATCTTACCAGCTTTAAGTGAGCATTATGCAATTAATTTAACTTGCATTGTGCAAAGTACACAACCAAAAACTAAAAATTATTCCCTCTGAAATTCTTCAGATAAGCTGTCTCTTGTGGCCACCTCAATGATACAAGTTGATAGCTACTATATATTTATACTGACAGTTGTTTCTCCAATTCAACAACACATGCAGCCCCAAAAAAAAGAGAAATGTTCTCCTTCTACTCATCCTCAAACATGATTATTAGGATATTATCATTTAACCACTAATTAATATGTCCACCTAAAAAAGCAACATTTGTCCAACTGAAAAAGCAAGAATCAGATAAGTATTTATCAAGCAAATAAATGGTGCCTATAAAAATGTGTGTCTTGTTAATGATGTGATATATTCAACAGAAAGAAAATATTTTTTCTTTAATTTTCAGATAAAGTACTTACAAAAGAGAAAAAATTAAGTGGAACACTGAATTTGAGCTCACATGTTATTTTTATTTGAAGTGAAAAGATTACTTTTGCATGCAGCACTCTAATAGTGATTATCACTTTTAAACACTCTAAAAAACATTCATATTTTTATACTATCTATACTATGTCATACAAAAAGATAAACTGCTGGGTATGGTAGCATAAGTCTATAGCCTCAACCAACACTCAGGAGGTTGAAGCAGGAGAATCATAAGATTGAAGCCAGCCTAGGCTACACAGTAAGTTCCAGGCTAAGGTGGGCTACACACTGAGACCTATCTCAAAAAAAAATAAAAAAGAAAGAAAACCCAGGTTTTTTTTTTTAAAGCTGGCTTCATATATATTAAATCTAAACCCTACTAAAAATATTTTATTTATATGACATTCACAAAATAGGTATATAAATCTTTGAGGTCAAAACAGGTACTAATTCTTCATTTAGCATCATCTTGTATTTCTATAGCTTTTACTTTTTTTTAAAGAATTTCTCATTTATTACCAAGTTAGCTTCAAAATAAGACTATCTCATTTCAAAGTTCCAAGTACTAAAATTTATTTTTCATACCCTAGTATAAACTACTGTATGATACACCCTGCTAGAAAAGGTCATAAATACATGTTATCAAACATTTACTTGTTGAGTTTAAGTTCAAAGATCTTTAACACTAAACTAGAATAATATATAACACTAAACTAGAATAATATATAACTAACAGTTTTTGCATGTGGACAATTAACTCAAACTCAATAGGTGTGTATTTTGACATTGCCACATACTTTTTACGTAACTTTGGAACAACTGATTAATCCCTCTACCATATAAGGAAAAAAGATTATTAGTAGTAATTGGCTCACAAGGTTGCCCCACAGTATCTATGACATCTACCTCATATAAGCTTATACAGTGGTTGTAGGAATTAGAGTTTATATGAATTAGGTATTCGGCACAATAGTAAATACATGTTGTATTCTATAAATATTGCTGTTTTCTGTTTACCATCACAATTTGTAGGCTCTATGCCTTTGAATACAGCATCCTTTGAGCTTTAGTTTCCACATATTTAAAAGGAAAGTTAACAACAACAGTAGTGTGCATTATGGTTATGATCAAGACTGAATGAATGCATATTTTACCAAAAAAAATAAGTTCTCAATAGTTTGCCGTAAAATAAAAGCATTTAAAGTTTAAAACAAGTGTTTTCAGTATTATTAAAGTAACATTTTGTTTGAATTTAATAATTCAATATTAACTTCGTTTTTTTTTAAATTGGTAGAACACCAGCCTAGCAAGCACAGGTCATGAATTCAAACCCTAATACCTAAGACAATAAATAAAACTGGTTTATTAACTTCATAATATATGAGCACTTCTCTATGAAATAAGCAAAACTTCCCTGCTTACAAAAATTTACAGACTGTCTTGTTTAAGGATACAGGTGGACCTGTTGCAACAATGAGAAGTACAAGTTGTCATGTCCAAAACGAGCTTTACAACGTCGGTGGGGGGGGGGGGGAGGGAGGGGAAGGAGAAGGATTGGGATTGGGGGGGCGGGGGGAGGCTGGGAAGGGATGTGAAGGGTAAACAAAGGAGGAGGCTGCAATGCTTGGTAAGAAATGTACGCATTATCCTGCCCATGTAATTGTAACTCCTCTATACAGTATGTTCACAAATAAAATTAAATTAAAAAAAAATTTACAGACTGTCAAAAAACTGCATTGAGTTAGAAACTATAAATAGGAAAATCAGAAGAAACAAAGAACATCAAAAGATTCACAGCAGTCCTCACAATCGTGTAAGTTTAAGAAGTAGAGGTCTCTTTATTAACTTTTGGGAATACATCAGGATTCAGGGTGTACGATGAAATTCATCAGGATGGTCAAGGTGAATGAGGTAG